CTAGTAATTTAGCTCATTCATTTTCCTTTCAGAAAAAACTATTTTCATAATTTTTGGTTGTGTTTGTGATTTTATACAATTTTTTTAGTAAGGTACCCCTTCAATTTTCGTGGAGTTGTTGCCTTTGTCTTAAGGATGGGGGGCCACAGCTGGCCAAGCCTGCTAAGTGCGAAAGGGTTAAGGAACTCGACTTTATTTAAACAGGAGATGTTCTACAACAAGGCGACCCCACTGTGTCAAAATATACATGTGGTAGTTGGCCCCAGCACCAGCTCAGACAAAGCGTTGGATGTGGTTTGTCCCCATGTACACACGGTGACATACTCATGTGTGTCAGGTTAGGGATCTGTCATCATGGAGTGCTGGAGACCTTCAGGCTCAGGGGTGGGTAAATATTGTAATATATGTCTCTTTACGCCCCTTTCCACACTATTTAGATCAAGTATATGGGCAAGTGGAAGTTCTTCACACAACAGCTTATTCAATATTTCAACCCCACAGTGTGAGATTCAAGTTTCCCTTCTATTTTAAGTTAAAACAAAATTTTTAACTGGAAGTAGAGGCCTACTTCCCCTCGACAGCCAGGGGGACAACTGGTCCCTTTTGAGGACAAGCGGGCTAACCCAGATTTGGGGGGTTTTCAGAAATTTTGACCTACACCAAAAATGGGCATTGCCCTACCTACAGGAGAAGTTCGGTTTCATTGGTGTGTATATTTTCTTGGTTATAGAGAAAACTCTCCTTGTCTTTTAAAGAAACTGAACAAGGGGCAAAAACTTTACCTTTGATTTTCTCAAAACAAAATTTTTGGGGGATAGCCCCCTTGTGCTTAAAAGCGACCAACTAAATGAGCACAAGATCAGAAATTGATCTCAATATCTGTATCATCTGACTTACATCTGAAGGGACTGAGACACACGCCAAGGAATACTCTGTGGCTTGTGGGGTCAGCGTTTTGAAGTTGGAAGACAAAGCAGCCAGTTGGCTCACTGATGTCCTCTCTCTCTGAAACGTGAAGACACAAAACAAGACATATATATAGACACATAGGTGAAGAAACGAAACAAGACATCATGTGTATGCGGGAACTAAAATAATCAGTTGTAGGGACAAATTTGCTTAAGTTTTACTTTGAATAAGACTTTTACGGCACATGTTTTAGTGTAAAAATGTTTTAAAACATCTGCAACACAATTAGGTCATATAAGCACCAAAGATCGGAAGTGTTACAACAGAGAGACAAACACAACATGACACATTGACTATCACTGTGTGTTTCCTCCCATCTTGCTGGCGCTTTTTAGCTCCATTACTTCCACGATTAAATGATGCACTCACTTCAACACAAAGCAAAATTAATCCATTTTTACACTTCAAAATTTAAAAAAAAGGAAAAAACCCCCCACTAAAATCCCAACATATCGTCCTCCCAAATTCGGACACACTCACACAACATTCTTCTGTATCTCGATATTAGTGAAACATTGTGCAGAGCACACACACTGTCTTCATGACAGTCTGGACTGGACTACCACAGATATCAAGAACAAGACAAAATAGAACATGAGAAATCGTACATTTCTGGGAGCTTGATCTTTTATGGTTTTAGAATCGACAAATTCATTAAGAAAAGAAAAATCGGGTAAAATTCAGGAGAAAATAGGCATGGAAATGACATTGAAACAATGTGCAAATTACCCAATATCGTCTTAACAAAATATAATTTTTAGAAGGGGAAAAAAAGGAGGAACATACATCAAACAAAGCGTCTGCCTGCTGTTAAAATGTTCCCTGCCCAAAATTAATTTTTAAAAAAAAATTGTTTCTTAATCTGTGGTATCAGTTATATGCGCTCATGAAATACTTTGTCCAAATTTAAATTTTGAATGTTGAAAAAGGCATGAAAAAATACAAAATGTGGTTACAAATGTTGAAAGAATGAATAATTCCCCTCCCTGCTCCGATAAAATTTAGCTTTCTGGCCGTGGCACATTTTAATAACTTGCTAACATTACAACAAAAACAAGCCTTGTCCAAACTCACGTTTCCGTAGTCGATGAAGAAGACGAGAGCCTCTCCTCCCTCCACTTTTTCCACCTTGGCACGGTACCACTGGTTGTCCTGGGAGAACTTGGCGGCACACGTTTCACCTTTACGCGCCGTGTAGGCTCCGGGCAGGGGCGGGTTGGCCTCCATGTCTTGGCGCAGCTCGTCCATCAGTTTCTCAAGCGTGGAGCCTGGACAGACGGGAGCCAGAAATGAATAAGTCATTACATCATTACATTGTTTTTTGAGTTAATAAATGTCAATTGGGTTTGTTCTTTCAATTTTTTTCCCTATCATTATCACAGCTGCCAACTTTTCTAAACAAAAACACCAACAAACAGGACTACCCACAAGGCAGATCAAGATGGTACTGTATCATGTACGATTTCTCGATTCACCAACAGGGCCTACTTAGCTATCTGTATGCAATATTACATGATTCACCAAGAGGTCCAAAAAGTTAACTGTAAAAGTATGATTACATGAAGGCCCACTTAGTTAACTGTGTGTATGATTACCTAAGCAACCCCCCCCCCCAAATCAACCGCAAAACTCATTGTTTGTACAAAGTGCGAGAACCCCAGCATCAGCTCAGACAAAGCGTTGGATGTGGTTTGTCCCCATGTACACAGAGTTGATATACTCATGTGTGTCGGGTTTGGGGTTTGTCATCATGGAGTGCTGGAAACCTTCAGGGTGTGAGTGGGAGGCTTACTTTACAAACCCTGTTGTGCGAGAGTGAGTGTGTGGAGCAGGAAGGTCACTAAACCTACACATGTCACTGACAAATTGCCTGTGGCGTCTTGGGAAATTATACGATTTCACCGTACTAGGTTGGAAAATGATTGAGAACAGGCAAACCGAGCAAGTAAATGCTATAAACCTATATATTTTCAGAAGATAGAACTTATTAGTGAAGGAGTTAAACAGTTTTGCCATATTAAAAAAACGGGATAAACAAACCTAAATAGCAACAGCCACTTGAATCAGCCTCCGCACCACAGAACAAAACTTACAGCCGATCTAATTGACCGTTGACACTTAGAGGGTTAAGAAAAGGAAGAATGTGTTGACACATAAAATCTGAAGCCACAAAGGAAAGCAGAAACAGGCATCTCAGACCCTCACCGTTTTCCACCTTCTGCACGTAGAAAGTGAGATTATCTGTGACCTCTGTGACCACGACCTTGTTGTAGTTGACCTTCCTCTCCGCAGGCTCCTCCTCCACCTTCACCTCTTTCTCCTCAACGTAGTTGGCCCAAATCTGGGGAGACAGAATTACATCTGAAATAAACTCACATCCCGGGGCTTGTTTAGTCTTGTTTAACTCTATCCGTGCGCCGCTTTTACTATCGTATCCATACGACGTGGGAAACTGTGCCACCACTGTCCAAAGAGGAAATTTACTCGTTAATCCGATCTCTACGCTTTGCATAGCAGTCTGTCAAAATGATTTTTTGAGAAATACTGAAAGTTTCAAAGAGATCTCCGTACTAGAAGAATTCTAAAATTATGTGAAGAATACAACCCCGGGGGTACGAAATGATCCCAGGGCGTATGGATAGGGTTAAGTAAGAGTTTTACAGCACTTGCAACAAAAAAGGTCATATAAGTGCTGAACAAGGTCATATAAGTTACTTGGAACACAAACGGGATATAAGTGCTCAAGAACTTGCAATATAAACACGTCATATAAGACCTGAAGATTAAAGGTGTTTTTACTACTAGAGAGAAGCATACTAAGTAAATACGGAGAGATAAGGATGGTAGATATTTGATAGGAAAAAAAGGACCAAACAACACCAGAGCACCCACTAACCACCCATTTGCCCTCTGTCCTGAGGAAAAAAATGTTCAACTTCTACCTATAACAAATGCCTTCATTTCAGCCCCAGCACCAGCTCAGACAAAGCGTTGGATGTGTTTTGTCCCCATGTACACACGGTGATATACTCATGTGTGTCGGGTTTGGGATCTGTCATCATGGAGTGCTGGAGACTATCAGGGCGTGTGATATTTTGGGTTGGTCTATGGACGCATTGTTAGTAAGGGAGTGAGTTCAGTTTTCTGTTGGTTTTTCTTGGGGGGGGGGAGAGAGTGATTCCTGAAAACTGACCTTGAGCTTGGCCTCCTTAGCCTTGGCCTCTTTGTCCACCATGCTCTTGTAGAACGGACTCTTCTCAGCCGTGAAGTGGACGCCGGCCAGTCCCGCCTCCACCAGGGCCACAGACAGGTTCACCCCCTCCACAAACAGCCAGCCGATGAAGTTGCCGCCTTTGTCGATGGCTTCCACTTCCACTTCAACCTACAGCAAACAAATGGTAAAGCCAAGAAAGGTTTATATTTAGGTTTTAGCGCTAGTTTTGCAGCACCTGCAACACACGAATAGGTCAGCTTTGTTTTAGTTAGTTTTACGGCATTTGTAACAATAAGGTCACATAAATGCTGAAGATTAGAGGTGTTCCAGAGAGTAACAAACACAAAAAAAGGAAGGGAGATAAGGACAATAGATGTTTGATAAGAAAGGAGCAGACCACACCGGAGCCCTCACCAACTGCCCACACAAGTGTTGAAGATTAGAAATGATACTAGAGAGTAACATACAATGAAAAGAAGGAGGAGAGATAAGGATAATAGATGTTTAGACAGGAATTGTTTTCTTAGTAAGCAGTTTCATCCATACAAAAGGGGGAAAAAATGTCTTGGCCTACACCTATCACCTGCATTTATATCTTAACAGGCGACAATACTCCTTTTGTTTTAGCAAGCGTTTTACGGCACTTGCAACACAACTAGGTCATATAAGTGTCAAAGATTTGAGGTGTTACAAGTGAGTAACAAACATAAAAAAGAAGGAGAGATAAGGACAATAGATGTTTGATAGGAAAGAAGGAGCAATCCATGCCAGAGCACCTGCCAACCACCCACACCACTACTACACTCAAGTAACAAAACCCTGAAATCAGAGACAAAGAAGAGAAAAGAAAACAAAAATTCCCCAGTGCATGCCAGAGAGAGTAGAGAGAGTGTAAGAAGTTTGTTGTGGTTGGGTTTGTAATGAGCAGAGAGAGTGTGTAGTGGGTGTGTAGAGAGTGTACATTGAGAGTGTAGTGGGTGTGTAGAGAGTTTATATTGAGTGTGTAGTAGGTGTGAGGGAGTGTACATTGAGTGTGTAGTGGGCGTGTAGAGAGTGTACATGGAGTGTGTAGTGGGTGTGTATAGAGTGTACATTGAGTGTGTAGTGGGTGTGTAGAGAGTGTACATTAGTGTGTAGTGGTTGTGTAGAGAGTGTACATTGAGTGTGTAGAGTGTGTACAGAGTGTGCAGTGAGAGTGTAAAGAGTGAGTAGAGATTGTACAAAGAGTGTGTAGAGAGTGTACAGTGAGGGTGCAGAGGTTGTGTATTGAGTGAGTGGTGAGTGTATAGAGAACGTGTAGAGTGTGTGTACCTCACGCTGTAGACACATCTCCTTGGTAAACATCAGAGCCTCCTCTCCGCATGGCTCGGCAGGGAAGCTCTGGCCACTGGGGAGAGTTCTTGCACCTCTTGGGCAGTTGATGCCTGGGAAAAAAAGAAACCACAGGGAATAATCAAGAACAGATAATTGTATTTTTCTAAAAATGGAAACAATTTTTTATTTACAACATTGAAGAAGAAGAAGAATCAACTCATACATGACAAACAGAGTAGTCCGCTTAAAATAAAATCAGCCGGACTGCAGGATTTTCTTCGGTTTAGAAGGGTTTTATATTTAACTCACTCACCGCCGTTGCTGCACCTGTGTTGGTCAAAAGGCGACGACCGCTCACGGCCGCTACCGCACCCCTGTCGGTCGAGTATTTTCCTCTTTATTTCTACTAATTGCCGACGCATATGCGGTAACGGCATAGCACAATTACTTGAGTAACATCCCTTTGACCACTCAGGGCAGTTTCACTTTACTAAAATGATTTCTCTTGATGTTCTGCCTATTTTTGGAACGGGAGTTCCCTTTACCCTAGTTCTGTGTTTTGTCTTGAACATCGGGCGGCCGAAGCCAGCAAAAAGCTCATGCCAATATGAATTGAAAACGGCTCGTCATTTTAGAGATTCTGAATCCATGATGATTCAATGAACTTAGATTCAGATGATGAAGCACAAAATAATGGTAGTGATGGTAGTTTGAGATAAGAGAAAGAGGTAGATCACCTGTCGACAGCAATAGGAGCTAGATCTAGTACTAATACTAGATCTAGTACTGAGTCTAGTACGACGATTAATGATTCAAGCGGTGGCACTTGAAATGTGTAGCCTAAGTCATCATAAACTTATCAATTTGGTTTTCTTTGTTTTGTTACATATTTTAATGCGTATTTTAGGACAGAAACTTCATCACTCCCACAATAACAGCAAAAATATTGTACTGGCTAGTTTGGCTAAAAAAAAAAAGTTTTAGTCCCCAAAATTTGTCGCTTTTTGAAAAGCTATAAAAAACATGAACAAAATAAAATAAGTCACAATTCTGTCTGTTCTGTAAAACTCAACATCACCTACTGAAACTGGCCAATTTTCATAAATCTAACATAAATAGGTACAGAGTAACAGGATTTTGAAAAAGGTAAAAAAAAAAGCTGGCAGGCAGTGTTTTTTTCTGAGCTGAGGCGCCGGCAGCGAGTGAGTTAACAGTTTAGAGAGGTTGCTCAAATAGAAGGAAAAAAATAAGACATGATTTTCTTTTCTTTCAGGTTATCACTGTTTTTGGACTGAATGTGTTCTGTTTAAGCAGACTCCACTGATTTTAGAACAACAAATGCTGAAGGCAGGATTTTGACAGAAGTGTTCAAAATCCTGGAAACTTGCAGAAATGTGGAAAAATGAAAACAATGTCATTTAAGCTCAATATAATGCTAATAGTATCTTATTTTTCCTCCTGTACATCATTATTTAACATCTATTTCATTGATTTAATTGAGTTGGTTGATGCTTTACAGCACCATCGACAGTCATCAATTTCAAAACAAATTGTTAGCCAGCTGTTAAAACCTTTACCTAAAAATTGGAAGATATTTTGCATTGCAGTTTCTCTTTTCTCTCTTGTCAAAATGTTGCTTTATGATTATGGGCTTCCTATACTTCAGTTTGCCAACAAATGTGAGGCATCGTGGTGAAATCAAGAACTCATCAAAATAATAAAATCAAAGAAATGGACATTTTTCTGCCTTTTCTGTAATTTTTTATCCAATTTTTCTTTTTGGCTCAACACCTTTAATATCTTTGTAAAAAGAAATTACCGTGTGGACTTTACTGAAAAACGATTAAATGCACAAAAATTTTTTATTTACATTGTCCGAGGACTCTCAGGATTGCGAAGTCACCAATCTTTGTCGGCCAATTTATCGCTAATTTCACCTCTGAAACCAGGCGACCCCCACCTCATTCAATCGTAAATATCTTGACTTCTATTCAAGATAGATGGGTATTATCTTTTTTTCCCATTGAAAGCAAGACAAATGAACCAAGCTTTTAGATGAAACCAAAAACTCCATAAGCCCAAAAATTGACGAGTGCCCGATTCCACCACGTTGTGACAAAAATGTTCTTGCTTGTCACACTTACCGGAAATGAGGAAAGTAATCAGACAAGTTTCTCTGGGCAAATATAGTCTGAGTCGGGATCCACTTGCAATAAACTCCACAATGGCTTCAGACTTCCCTGCTCTTTGCAAGAATGGGAGAAACTGCTTGGACTTGGCAACATCCTGAATATAAGAAAATGTGAAAGTAAAGTAACTGTATGAAGTGTATGGGTCTAATGCCCCAATCAAAACTATTTAAGAAAATGTGAGAGAAGAAAAAAAAGGGTGAGGATTACGATTTATAAGTTAGTCCTCCAATTTCCAGAATGAAGTGCAAATGTGCGTCTCAAGATATTTTTTAAAATATGGAAAGTCAACAGGTTAAAATTTAAGATTCACTGACTTAACATTACCTCTCCACAATATAAAAATAAAATGCCACCCAGATAGAGCATAATTTCCAGAACTTATTTAATTATAAGACAAAATTTGAAACCCCATGCATTCGAAAAAGCTTAACCAAGCTGTGAAACTCAACATTTATAACGTCAAATTTCTCAAAACTAGGTACAGGGAAGATAGAGCTTTATAATTCTAGGGTACCAACAAGACAAGAATAAATATTACTTACCCCTGAGACATCAGCCACCCTGTGAATAGGGGGTTCCTTCTTGCTGTGGAGGCCGACGCCTTTCTTGATGGCCCTCGACTCGGCCGCCAGAAGCTCGTCGTAGTGGGAAGAGCGCTGGTCGTCGTCCTGCTTGTATCTGATCACTGTGGCCAGTCCCTTGCTCACCAGAGCTTCTGCCACATTACTGCCCAGGGGAAAAAAAATAATGACAAAATTGTTGTAAGCACATCATCTATCGCTTCATTTTTTCCCCCACACCAATACGAAAAAGAGTTGAACAGTCACATCATTTTCTTTTTTAAATAGAAAGACTTCAGTAACACCAAATGCATAGACAGTCTTTACTGATGCCGGTAAGTTTTTCTCTATTTTTGCCTTTCCATGGCGCTCGCAACTGCATACGGTCATATGAGCGCCAGAAGATTAGAGGTGTTACAAGAGAGTAGCAAACATAAAAAAGAAGAAGGGGAGATAAGGACGATAGATGCATCATAGGAAAGAAGAAGCAAACCACACCAGAGCACCCGCTAACCACCCACCGTGACACGCATAATGCAGGGATGATGTCTTACTGAAAAAAAAACAACCTAAACAGTGATAGAGCTATTTTTGGGCCACGGTTTTGTCACAGGTTTCAGTTTTAGTAAGAGTTCTGTGGCACTTGTAACACAAGGTCATGCAAGTGCGTTTTGAGTTTGAGTAGGTGTTTTACGGCACTATCGACTCAATTTTTGTCATGTACGTGCCAATGTAAGTGTTGAAGATTAGAAATGTCACAAGAAAGTAATAAACAGAATAAAAAAGAAGGAGGGGAAATAAGGACAACACATGTTTAATTACATGTTTGATAGGGAAGAGGGAGCAAACTACACCAGAGGACCTGCCAACCACCCACTATCATGATATTACAGTGCTCCTTTGAATGTGCTATTGTAGAACCAGCTTCTGCTGTTACTGATCCACTTCTATATCTTGAAACGGACAAACAAAGTCATCCTTTCATCTCCTGCCAATTCTTTCCCCAGTTCATGGTCACTCACACTCCTCCTGTGGTCACTGTGCAGCAAGTCTTCTCAGGGAACCCTTGGTTGGGAGGCTGAATGTAGTCCACTTCCACGCTCACCTGACCAGGAAAAAAAGAACACGAAGTTAAGTACAACAGCTCACCATATCGTCATAATCACTGCCTCTCTCATCCTGGGTCAGAGTATCGTCGCCTTGAGGCGGAGCAGTTAGGCACTTCCCTATTGCACTCAGGTGACCGGAGTTTGATTCCTGAGTGGGGAGAAATTTTTATCGAGTGTCTCAATCTTTTGGCAGAGATGACGTATTCTTCTCAGCCCCAGTTAGCCCTTACAGGCAGGGTTGGAAGCCCGCCTCCTAAATGATCTAAATTGTGTTGATGGGGCGTAAGAACACATACATTTAAAATATTGGGGGGGGGGGGGGGGGGGGGGGGGGTGGTGGGTGTCAGGGTATTCATCATCATCATCATCAATGCCTTTCACCCCTGGCAGGGTATAGGCCACATACAAGCTCCTTCCATTTATCTCTGTCCTGAGCCATCCTTCCAAGCTCGTTCCAAGTGAGCTTCATTTCTCTCATGTCCCTTTCCACGCATCTCCTCCATGTTTCCTGTGGCCTACCCCTGCCTCGTGCTCCTTGTGGGTTCCACTGCAGTGACCGTCTTGTGATGATTTTCTATCCTGCCACTTAATTGTTAGGATACTCCTCATACATCTGTTGATAAAAGTCTGGACTTTATTCAGTACTGTCTTCGTTGTCTTCCAAGTTTCACAGCCGTAGAGGAGCACAGACTTGACGTTGGAGTTAGAGAGTTGAATTTTGGTGCGCAGTGAGATGTTGCTTGCTGTCAGGGTATTGGTCACCAACAAACATTTTCTACATTTCCCTATCATGGGTTAGTGTTTCTTGACATTATTCCATGTCTTTCCCCTTTCCTGTACATCATTCTCTGTGACTCTTCTCCAGGTTCCTCACCATGATCTCTAACCCTGTGGATTGCAATCCAACGCTAGGTAACTACATGTAGTAAGTTTAATTCCCTATGATAGACCTGCATGTGAGCCTCGACGAGATTGTCTGAAAATTTTGCGCACCCCCCACCCAAAGAGCTTTTAAATTGTCAATTTTGTGGGTGCATAAGGAAGGACTTCCGAGTAATGAGCGATCACTCCAACAAACACAATAAAGAAGAGACCTAACCCTAACCCTACCCCAAAAAAGAACCTGCAACGGGCCTCATGTAAAAAGGCCAGCACAAGTCCAAAATATTTTAAAAAATTAAAATTAAAAACCACACTCCAAAACAAACAAGGAGCATGGCCTAGATCTACATCTACATTGCTATAATTGCGTTTGATACAACACACAATTAGAATTGGAATATGAATCCTCCATATAGATATAGAAATCTAAATAAATCTAGATTTAGATCTTGTAGAACAAGTGAATAGGAATAGGCCTTGAACTACAAATCCGCACCCGATTCCGAACAGACGGACTCAGCCGAGTCTAGAATCTAAATAAATAAATAATTCACGCACCAGATGAAATGCTGTTTACCAACATTAACATTACAGCACAACCTATGAATCCTCCATTGAGGTCTATAATGATCTATAAATCTAGATCTAGATTCTATTAGAACAAGTGAGTCGGACTTGAATGAATCCTCACGATCTGAACAATTGAATTAGTCAACAAACGAAATTCAAAATGGCCGCTCGAGCACGAAACTGAAAGTAGATAATAAAAATATTAATTTAGGTCTTCGTCCTTTTTCGTATTCGTATTTCTACTCAGGTTCCGACAATTATGTCAGAAACGCCGACGCCGGCAGTCAGCACGAAAATGAAAGTGCCGACAAAGCCGACGGGAGAAAAAGGGTGGCGCTGGCAGTCGGCCAGGCCTCCCACTACGCACATTGACTGATACAGGTGGGCCTAGCGATAGCATCGGCAGGCTCGCGGGTCGGGTCGCGATCGTCGGATTTCAGACGATTGTCGGCAAACATGCAGGTCTACTATGACCTTATATCAGCCAGTCTGGCTTTTCTACTTTCAGGAGAACTTTTTTTTGTAGTAGTAGTATAGGGTTTTACGGCGCTCGCAACTGCATAAGGTCATATGAGCGCCAAAGGGTGGGCGTCAACAGAGAAATCTTTACAGGGAATCAGACTTAGACTGCTCACCTCTCTAGTTTCAACAGCACAAGGTCTGCTTCGACTAACAAGGCACCCCAAAATAGCAGGTCACAAGGGAGTGACAAACATACAAAAGAAGTAGAGGAAAATGACAGTAAGGATCAGGAAAGAAAAAGGAGCAGTTCCCTGTTGTAGATCAGGCTCAGTTATGAGCGTGACATGAATCAGCCCATTTACAATTCTACTATGCTTGAACGAGATATGTCCCCCCTTTGGGAATGGCCTAAAGACACTTCAGTCAGTGGCACCGCCCCGAGGGGGTCAGAAGAACTTTAAGCTTCACATTTGACAAACAGGACAAATAACATTTCTACGGCTGAAATACAAAAACCAAAACAATGTTAGTTGAGGCAAAATGAGATCTTGGATCTGACATTTGATTTTGCCTCAACTCTCTTACAATGCAAGGCATAAAACAATAACTTAAATTAAAAACCACCACTTCATTGTTCAAAATTGTGGTTTTAATTTTTATCAGTGCTACATGACCCTTGCAGAAGTTCTACTTTCACAGTATTAAGTGATAAAGAAAAAGTCTAACATTCAATCATAATCATACACAAAAAGGAGACTGAATGCTCCAAGTTTTAAATATTCAATTTACAACCCCCCAAAAAACTGACTTCCTTACTTCCCTGAGTACTGCTTTATTCAAACTCTACGGCCAAAACTCTTTTCTTTTTTCTTTTTGCCAATCAATTTCTTCCCCAAGAGCTTGGTCAACTTAAGACATTAAGACAACTCACCTTTTTGCCAATCAATTTCTTCCTCAAGAATTCTCTGGCTTCAAACATGTAGGGGATATCATACAGAGGTCGTGACCTTTTGCTGGAGCCATCCTTGGGTGCTGGGGCTGCGTCTGATGTGTCAACAGGTCTGAGAGAAACAGGCCAAAGAAAAAAGTTTTTCTCAGTTTGGTAAGAGTTTTATGCTGCTCGCAACTGCATAAGATCATGTGAGTGCTCGAGACTCAAGTTGGTTGTAATCACATTAGTTCAGAGCACGGCTTGGTTTTAATTCATGGTTGAAAGTAAAAATTCAATAGCTAAAAGAGTCACTAATTCTAAAATTAGGACTACCTACATTTTGGAGTAAAGATCATTGGTCTTTACAATTTAGAGAATTCCGCTGGGATCAACAATAGAGAACAAATTGTTCAACTTAGTGCTTTAAGTAAAGGGACACAGACAAAAGAAAAAGTTTTTCAGTCAGAAAAATGGCACTGGTTGTAAAAAAAAAAGAAGTCTTTGAGCTGTCAGAAGGGTAAAGACAGAAAAAAATAAGTCAGTAAGTAAAACGGGCCCCACGATCAAAAAGTTTCCATTTGAAGAGTACAGGGGAAAAGAGGCATCAGTCACAATTTTCCATATTTGATTTTGTCTCTTTCAATTTATTGCTTGGATTGTTCCATTCTGTCCATTAATACCATATATACTAGTAACATATTTAATAGAGTATTTCGAAAGCACAACCGTAACCCTTATGAGCACATGAAAGAAAGTAATCCTCACATTTTCTACCCTCTCACCACATCATTTACAAAAAAAATATAGTATGACAGAGGAAACCTTCACTTGGAACCTCTGACATCTCTTTGCACTCACCTGGGTGGTCTGATGCTTGCCAGGAAAATTTTCTTGAACGAAGATTCGAGTTTCAAAACCAGCGCATCACCATTCACTACTTCAACCACCTGCAATGAGAAAAAAATTCTGATTCAAAACACTTGTCCAAAGAGAAAAAGGAATGGTACAGCTGCTCCACAACAGTAAACGGAAATTACTTTGATCAAAAACCAACTTAATAAGATCTATACCACCCCTTGTCAACCTTTTCACAGCCAACGCCCATTTTTGTTTTCTTTAAAAGACAAACATTTTTGTATCGCTCACCAACATGTTCATCCAAGCTGAACATAAACACCTGTCACTATCTGCGTGATCCCCAGCGCCCACTAAATTAACCAAATCACCCAGTGGCGGGCAATATCAATCGCCTTTTCAATCTAGTTGGCAAGCACGGACCTATACATTATATAAGAAAACTTACTGTATAGTTGGGTGAAAGATTTTGAAAGTCAATACTGTTGTTCTTTTTTTCAATACACATGAATTGTCTAACAAAAAACATTTTAAATTGAAACCGATAAGAATGTTAAGCTATAATTAATTTTTTTAAAATTAGCACAACAACAACAATGGCCATATTCTGCCTAGAGACCGATCAGGGAGAGAAAAATGCTCAACTCTGTTTGTTTTCATTTTAATTAAGAGTTTTACGGCACTTGTAACACAATTAGGTAATGTAAGTGCCAAAGATTAAAGGTGTTAAAAGAAAGTAACAAATGAAACAAAAACAAAAAAAGGAAGAGAGAAAGGGAAAATAGATGCTTGGTGGGAAAGAAAGGGTTACCACACCAGACAGAACACCCACCAAACACATACAGACATCTTTGACGACAGAGTTCACCCAACATAAAGGATAAACGGTCTAGAAGCAACACTTACTTTGAAGTTTTAGTGAGAGTTTTACAGCATTTGCAACACAATAAGGTCAAATAAGTGCCAAAGATTAGAGATGTTACAAGAGAGTAACAAACACAAAAAAAGGAGGAGGGGAGATGAAGATGATAAATGTTTGATAGGAAAGAGGGAGCACTGGCCAACACTTACTTTGCCAGAGAAAGACTTGTCCTTGATGTTCACAGAAGATTCCGACGGCTTGTAGTCTTTCCAAATTCGCAGTCTTTTTTCTTTTGCAAGTCTGTACGAAAAATTGGCAAAATTGACTCATAGATAAATATGTTAAGCATAAGGGGGAAAAGCAAGATATGTTAGTTTTTGACTAATCTGAGTAATGCCATGGGTTGGAAAGAGTTTACGCACCTCTTCTGTCCCATCCAAGCATCCAGTGCTAAAGCCTTGTGAGTTCCCTAATATCAGGCTTGGAAAATAAGCTATACTATGAAAAAAAAAAAAAAATTGGATGTCAAGCATTTCACTTTTTCCTTCTGAAATGCCAAAAGTGACATCCCTCGCTTTTCCCAAGTGCCCTTCTAATTATCTGTGAACATTTGTACACAGCAAATGTGATCATAATGCTTTAGTGATTTTTCACTGTTTCACTGGAACAGTTGCTCTCTTCTCATCCCTTTCATTGTCTACTTATGCTCGATCTGAGAGTAAAATTTACTTAACAAAACATCGGAGAACTTGAATTTGTTAATATAAAGAGAAGTACATCGACACAATAAGGGTCATTAAGTGCAGGAAAAGAGTAAGGCAAACAGAAATAACTGAGGAAAAGAAAAGAAGTAAGACCACCAAGTGGGCCCTCCAACTGCCCGCAAGAATTTTAGAAACCAAAAGAGCCAACCCCAGTTTTCATGAACAATTTTCAGCCCACAAAAACACTCACTTTTCCGCGGCTCTCAATTTGTCTGTGCCCTGTGTAACCACACCCATGGACCAATCCACACATCGGGCAAAGCCTTCTTTCAGTAAGAACTCCGTGATGTTCCCGTTCTGTTGAAGGGAAAAAAGATTACATTCACTTTGCTCAGCCAACATCTACTGCATATCATTATGTATAGGACACAACTTCTTAACTAAAAATCAGGGCTCAAAATAATCTTGAGTCTTATCTATGAGATGCCAAATTAGAAATCGCTGCTCCTTGTTGCATCGTAGATCCAAGTAATATAACTGCTGACAAAAACTGGTTTGCAAAAAAAACCAACCTGACTCTGTTTTGTTTAAAGGTGTGGTTATTAATGAAAAATCCACTAACGCAGGTGATGGTGCTTGCAATAAAAAAGTTTGGGCATCTTATCCAATGAAAATTTGATTTTTACCAAAATTTTGGCTCCCGGGTCTACCAGCGTCTTATCCACACAAACATCCTATAAGCCATGATATATTGTACACTGTAACAGAAACATGTGCCCCAAAATCAATTTTACAGATAAGCCTGTACTGGCCACCATTGATAAATGGACTTCCAAATTTTGTAGAGGTGGCTGTTCATTTTAAAAGGCATATATCAGTGGTTCTGAGCATGTGTCAGCAGAATATCTTTTTCAAAACCAAATTCAACCTGCCTACTGCTGTATACTATTTGATCAAAAGCCCACCACCATTAGTTCACTACAAAATGAAGCCTGTTCACTTACAGGATGCAGAACTGTGCCTAAAAAGTTTTGATTTGACACGCCCTCCAGAATGATCTTGATATCTTTCTGCAACAGGCGAGATTCTGTGAAAAACTTGGCTTCCTCCATAAAGGGCTCTGGAGTCTGCTTTCCTTCAGCATCAGTCTTGTTCATTGGACACTGAAACATTCAAAAAACCATTATGTCAAGTCCACACAACTTAGAGTTAAAGAGAAGTGCGACAACAAAATAAACTCCATTTAGTGCTAAGAAAAGCAAGACAACCAGACAGAAAAATGAAGTTTGCCAGTAGCACCCTCCAACCACCTACAATAAAACTTGGGCATACACCCGACAGTTTTGCTTACACACCAATATATGATTGAATTGCATTTCCATGCTGTTCATTAAATTTTGAAAATCTCAAAGTTCCCTCAAGGATATGAAATTATCTTTGTAAGCATATTCAAATAGAGTGGAAACAATTTTAGGAGGCTCCAAACATTTTATGAATCAGTTTTTTTTTCTTAGGCTGTTTTTTGTTTTTTTGCACATGCAAAAAAAATGTCTTGTAGCGACTTGACTACACTAATAAGAAAGATATAAAATATCTATGAAAGTGGCAATACAAAATTTCAGAAATATTGCAGAGAGATGAAAAAAGTTTAATCCAATTTTTCTTTTCACACATGCACACACCCTTCAAAAAGATCCCACTATTAACTGGCACTTTCTTTCTCTCTTTTTAAAAAAAAGTGTCAGCAAGTTTTCTGCTCTTGCAGTACAATGAGGTCATATAAGTGCCAAAAATCAGACGCGTTATCAGTGAGTATGAAATACAAAGAAGAGAAGGAGAGAATAAGACGATACATATTTTAGTATTAGTAAAGGTTTTACGGCACTCGCAACTGCATAAGGTCATATGAGCGCCAGAAGATTAGATGTGTTACAAGCGAGTAACAAACATAAAAAAGAAAAAGGGGAGAGAAAGACGATAGATGTTTGATAGGAAAGAAGAAGCAAACCACACCAGAGCACCCGCCAACCACCCAAAAACCACGATGACTTTGACCAACCGACATATTTGATAGGAAAGAAGGAACAAATTGCTGAAAGAGATATTAGTGCATGAAGACATACCTTGATCCCAGACAACATAACAGTGACGTAATCAAATGAGGGCAGGAGGAAAGCTCTCACTGTGCAGCCATCTCTCACGTGTTCAATAACGGCTGAAAAGAAAGAAACAATGCTTACATCAATTCTTCATAGCCACAGGGCAACATTTTGAACCTTTAAAAAAATTTACATTAACAATCAAAATTATCGTACAAACAAATTATGTGGAAATGCTGGAGACTCAGAGACAAAGTTCTACGTTTTGCTCACTATCATTAAAATCTGTCTCATCGAAACAACCAATGAAATATTTCACTCTAAAAACAACCTCCACAGAAATCCCTTAAGAAAATCAAATTAATGAACAGAAGGTGTAATAAGGCATGATACTTTGTGGACTTCTTACAGTAATTTCTCTGCTAACTGGAAACTACACAAACAGAAAACAACCACTCTAGTTTCCTAAATATAATTTTTTTTTTAAACCACTACCATTTGCATAACATTCTCCAAAAGCAAACTGAAAGAAGAAAAACTCAATCAGCCAGCATTTCCATTTTGACATGTTCCAAATCAACAAAATATTCAATACTTTTTTGCTTCAATACCAGACACAGTTGAATTTGTCTAAGACAGCCACCCATTGTTGAGAAGAAAAGTGGATATCTTAGACAGGAGCATGTCTTAATCAAGTCTCATTATAATGTAAAAAAGACAAAAGGGACATGAGAAGTGGCTATTTGGACAGGTGATTGTCTTATATAGGTAACCGTTAAAGTAGGTCCTTTATTTTTACAGCCAACAAACAGACCTACCATCAATAGGCTTGCTGTGATGTGAATCAACAAAGTGCCTGGGGTTGTCGATGACCCACTTGATGTTGCGTACGTGTTCACTCACGCCCTCGGCTGCATGCTTTCCTTTTCCTGCTGCCTTGGCAGTGTCCTCCAGTTGAATGAGCCTTTGCTGTGCCGGGCTGGAAGTGAATAAAAGATCAAATACAGTAAAATCTTGTTATAATGTACATGGTTTTAAAACATACTATCGGCTGTAATGTTCACTTTCTGAAGCTCCAAGTCCCATTTAGTATTTTCACTACTTCTGGCTAATGCCCGCCTCAGTTAAGACCTTCGGTAGTTTGGGTCCAAAAGGAGTACTTTACACCGACGCTTTACAGTATCATAACATTTCTTTGAGTTTAATATCCGTTTGTCTCATATCTTTACTCATTTCAGTAATGGTAATGGCTACTTTTGTTTCGTAATATCCTTAGGTGCCCTTAAATCCTTCACCACAGAGCCCCCTACTCCTGGACAGATCTCTTCGCATACAGAGGCGACAACTGAAGACCTGAAGATTATTATTCACATACAGTGGATTTCATTAAAACCAAACAAAGTTAATCTGAAAACAGTGGTAAACCAAAAGAAAATAGAGTCCCCCCCTGTTAATCTTCGCTATCTGAGCAATCCCTCTAAACTATAAACACGGCTAAACCGAAAAAAATCCAGCAGTCCAGCATACCTTGGTTTTAAGATGACTCATTGTACATCTTTCCTGGAACAGAGTCTCTAACAAAAACAAAGTTACAAATATTATACTGTTTTAAACCCAACAAAAAAAAAGAAAAAAACACACAAAAAAACACCACAAGTTAAAAAAGTAAAACACAGAGATGAAATTTGTCCAAAATTCTTACTCATCCTTTCTCAGCCCACTTTGCCTTACATCTACGAGACCTTCTGTGATCAAAGTTTCCGTCACATTCTCACCAGATGTATCTTGAATGAAAAGAGGTTACAAAAACAGAAATAAGAAATGGTATCCGTTCCTCATACTGAATAAATATAATTCATTTTCACAATCTAAAATTCCAATGTCCAATAAGTAATTTATGTAGTCGGGCCTAGTGACACATCTGTCTACTATAAGTTGAATATATATGGAAATCACCAAAGGTAAAAACTTTCAAAGAAAACAGAAAAGCAAGCATGTATTTTTTTCAAGAAAATCACAAACCCGTATCAATATATTTCAAAAGAGACAACCACAAAAAAGCACTAGTTTTGTACTTTCCCTTCTTTGAGACAACCTGATTCACAGCTTGAATAAACTAATTACACAAAGGTGTTGATGATTTACACAGCTTTCTTATATTTGTGAAGAATGTATGCACACCAAAATTCGACTCCACAGAGTCTAACAGCTCCTGACTGTACTGACTACACCTTAGGTTTTGAGTCACTGCTTTGCAAAGACATTTTCTGACATGACCACAAAGGACTTCCGATGCTGAAGTGTGATGGTAGTGGCGATCAATGAAGAATGCACTTGTAGCAATGAAAATGTTATACTAAAGAGACCATTACAGTAGCTTTAAGAACTAAAGATTTGAAATATTTACAATTTGACTTAATATGCGAGGCAGCATGTGAAATCAGGCGCTCGTCAAAATAATGAAACTGAAGAAATTGGCATTTTTTCCCTGATTTGGGAACTTTTATTAATTTTTAAATTTTGGCTCAACACCTTTCAAGTCCATTAAGGAACACAGTCCTGTGTGGACAGCACTGAAAAACATTAAAGGCACAAAAAATATAAAGTTTCCATTTCCACAGACTCTCAAGCTTAATAAATAACTAAACTTTGGTGGCCATTTCCCACTAATTTCACCTCTGAAACCAAGCGACCCTACCTCATTCAATAGAAAATAGCTCCAGTTGCATTCAAGACAACTGGACATTTTTTTCATCGAAAGCATTACAAATGAACAATCTTTAAGATGATAGCAATAATTTCACATGACTAAAAATTGACGAGGGCCCAATTCCACTGCGTTGTGACACAAACTACATTCAGTGTCTGAGCTCAAACATTGTTATAGCATGTTTTTCTGTATTAAAACTAAGAAAACAAATATAAAGTTTACTCTTTGACAATATAGATATATTTCATATACGAAAAATATGATCAACTAAGAAAAACAAGCTTCTCTATTTCAATGCGTCCTTGTGAAAAGGACGAACACAGAGTGAAGCACTCACCTTTGCCAACATAGAGAACACCATACTCTCTTCCTGAACCTGGTACCTTGTACTCTACTGTAAAAGTAACCTCTTTTCCCACGAGCTTTTTGCGGAGAAATTCCCGAGCCTCCCATGCAAAGGGCTGAAAAAGTTAAAATTTAAAAGTTGACAGTACAAAAATACTTCTATATAATTCAATATTCTTCAATTTTCAATGCATTAGCTTCAAGCTCTGCCCACAGACTCATACAATATGCCTTTGACTAGCAACTGCAGCTAAGAATCTAACATTATACAAAAATGTTTTATAATCCAAATATATTACTTTAAAAGTTGTCTCAAATGCATCCACTCAAGGTCTTGTTCTGCTTCTGACTTATAATTCAAATCGAAGTGACTATTCGGACTCGAGTCCGATTAAACAAAAATTATATTCGGACTTTGAATCAACTTCAGCATGACGCCCCTTCCGACTTTTGTTCCTATATATTCCCAGCATTTACGAACAATTTTTCGATAATGATAACAATCGAGACGTGAGCTTTAATATCCAGTACCTAGATCTATCTAAACTGGCCTTCCCTGCGTCATTAGTAAGAACAGAACAACCAAGTTGAGTTGACCTTGCAAAGTTAATTATGTCGACCAATGAGATTGCGCATAGCGATCATGCACTCTCGGCTTGCTGGGGGAAGAGGTGTCGAGAATAGGCCACGGCTGTCAGTTTTGTGCAATGTGATTTTTTTTTTATTACAGAAAAACTATAACACGACAAAATGAAATTAAACATGCGGAAAGACAAATGGTGGTGGAAGTAATGATGTAGTGGTGGTGGAAAGACCCCGAGTTGTCGGTCACCGTGTACCTAGACATTGCCATTGGTTGGGCAATGAGAGTGCAGTCCTTTGACTCTTGACACAAATACAGTCCTAGGGGGTTAATCTAATTTTAATTTTATGTAAAATCCCCCCACGACAGTTATATTATGTAACCTCCTTACATTCACACAACTCACTTAGAAGCAGAGTCCGAATAAATAATAAAAACATTTCTTTCAGACCCGATTCCGAATGGATAAAAAATCTAACCGGACTCGAGTCCAAAAAGAGCTGGCCAATTCAAATATATACAAAACGTTTGATTGACAATTCTTATCCCCCTTTGTCGGCCATCCCTTTAATTTAACTACAGTACAGTGGAATCCTGTTATAACAAGAGGGAGGGGACTAGAGAGAAATGTCCATTATAGCAGGAACCAGTAATAAACTCAATAGAAAGAATAAAGTAGGCCTAATCTAGGAGTTTGGTGTTTTGTTTCTTTTCGTTATCTCCCCTGATGATGATTTTGTTTCAACACGACCTCAAGGTCATACTTGATCAAAAATCGAATCCGGTTTCTTTACCAAGCGCTAGCGATGTTGACAGCTCGGCGTTGGTGATCAGAAAGAAATGGCTCTAGGCTAACTCGCCCGTTGTGTTGTCCCCCACCCCACCATCCACAAACGTGTTTGTCTGATTGCGCTATAGCAGTATTTTATTACAAAGGTAAGGAAGGGAGAAAAAAAACGAGGTTTTAGAATAGTGTCTTTATAATAGACTTCTCATTATTTCAGGACTCGTTATAAGTGGACTCCACTGTACTGAAAAGGCATCTGTTTAAAAAATGCCACCTATATTCTCACGGTGAGAATAGCCAATGACCCGCTATTCTCAAGCCTCACCCCCAATTCAGTGGCTGAATTGGAAATAAAATTTTAGTTTGCAATGCCTAAAGTATTTAATAATGGCCTCCTGTCCTATCTATATTCTCACCCCTGGTGAGAATAGCACATGCCCCGCTCTTCTCCCTCCTTCCTGGACATCGACAGTGATGTAGATCTATATTTTTTTATGTAACAGTCCGGCCTGCTTCAAGTGTTCCGTCCCATGAGATGAAGGAGCACTCTTACAGAATTTAAGTCGGGATATGGGAAGTGGAAAATTACGATGCAGACTTTTGAAACAAATATATGATCATCTTAACCAAATCTTTGCTATCAATTAAATCTTTAATGAACAACAAATAGATATAGGAAAATAATTTAAATGTACAAACATTTTTCGCCTCTCCAGTAAAAAATATGTCTCACTACCCACGCTACTGCGCGGGATGTGGGACCGCGGCGCCGGCAGACCATTCGTTGTTTACACAAAAGATAGCAGGCCTCTCACTCTCTGCCAGCACACAATAAATTATGGTTCAAGGAACAGAGAGCGTGTATGAACGTAACGAGACCCAAGACTAATGCTCTTGCACGACGGTAGAAGGATTGTAACTTATTCAGACCAAATAGGGGAGGGCATTAAATCTTGTTAACTAGAATCTAGTTTAATAATAAAATTAAGCAATCCAAGCTCTTTTCTTCACTTTCATTTGTTTTTCTTTTCTATTCTTTCTTTTTTTCTTGCCTCTTTTTTCCCCTTCTTCCTGTACATTTGGAATTAGGAGCCAAAAAAGAGCCAAATGAAATTCTACGGGCCAGACGTGATCCAAAAGAGCCAAATTTCTGGGATATGGCTCCAAACTGACATCTTTAACTGTGACACGATCCTGTGGAGCATCAGCCCTGAACCCCCCCCCCCCCAGGTAATTCCGGTAACCTCAGCCCTGGTAGAACGAGGGGGTGAGAATAGCGAGACATGGGTTATTCTCACCCCGGGTTCCCACTTCAGTTTCAAAACAAATGTTCAATATTATAGCGCATGGCTAAAATTCAATAAACTACTCCCCCCCCCCTCCCCCCGACTTTCCTTTTCATATGAAACCTATATTATCAACTGTTGTGAGATAACTTCACCTCATCCTTTGTCTCTGTCGAGTTTTCCACATTTGGATTTGCTCGTCTTGCCATTTTGGGAGCAGTGATGTTTGAGAGACATACTGTTCGCTCAGGTGGAGGCCCGCCTTTTGGCTGTCCTCGTAAAACAACAGTATCTCCGGAGAGAACCTGAAAAGAATTACAAAGCCATAATTTACATTATTAACAAATATCGATTTCTTCAGGTAAACTATGGAACAAGCAACGTAATCCCTTTAATGAGAATCATGTTTAAAATCATTTTTAAGTTAACAGTTTATAGCTGAATTCTATATTTAAACTCTGCCAACTTTCTATAAAATTTCAGGTGTAAGGTCTGGTGGCATACATTTGATGATCATGTTACCCCTAGATTCTTATACATATTCCTACTGTTGTCAGTCCTGATGAGCTCAGTTTTTCTCATTGATTGAACTGCTTGTCAGTCACAAAGCTGTTGTTCTGTCTTCCTCTGCTCTGCTTTCCCTACATTAGATTCTTGCAATTTCTCACCTCCCTTTGTTTATTCAATAAAATTCAAAAAGAAGTTCAGTTCTCGCAACCATTCAAAAGGATCGACTGAAAACTAGAATCTAGAACTAGATTCTAGATCTAGATCTATAATTCGGCCAACTATACTTCACCTCAATCAAATAGGCCTATTGACCTATTGCATTGATCTAATCTACATGCTAATGTCTACACTTACCAAAATCCTGAGCCCCTGTGAAAAATTGTGGGAGGACTTCCGTAACAAGCAACCACTATGAGACAGAGCAGAATTGAGGGCTAGGGGCAGGGGTAGATCTAAATCTAGATTCTAGGGCTAGGAGGCTAGGGGTAGTAACTTAGGGTTAGGGTTAGGCCTCTTCTTTATTGTGTTTGATGGGGTGGTCGCTCGTCACGGAAGTCCTTCCAAAATTGTTTACTTATAGATCTATTCTAGATCTGTATCTTCTAGAATTAGGCTACTTGTTTATCGGGAAGTTAAACATCTGCTTCACGATGTGTCATGTGTGTCTTGTTGACTGTGACTACGACATGACTGCAATGCCTGTCTCAGATCATTTCTAGATTTTCTTTCAGCCCTTACAGTGCAAAAGCACAGTCCCTCCTTAGATAACTTATTGCAGATGTGGTTAACTCTGCGCTGAGGAATTTCCAAAGAGAGAATCGGATCTGTTATTTTGACATACTCAGCAAGGCTGTGACTGTGACTGAGATTGTCAATGGTGGGTTTCACAGAGAAGGGGGATTGGCTTGGCAAAATATGGAACATGAAAAACCAACCTGATCACATATCTGACACGTTCATTTACAACAAATCATATTCAGTATGGAGTCTTCAACTGATACTACTACATTCAACCCGATTTTGTTACCTGTTTTACAACAGCCCTTTGAATAACAACTTGGGAGGTTTGTGCGCTCATCTTTTTCTTGTAGATGATGGCGAATAAAAGGAAGTGTGGTCGGTGTCACGTGACTTTTCTCGTCTATCTTATTTAGTAAGTTAGCTCCCTTTCCCATGTGGCAGGTCACGGAACTGACCTATATTCAACATGCGCCACGCAAGCAAACTGCGTAAAAGTTAAAGAAAGAAAGAAAAAACTAGGACAGATTACCCGTTCACCGTGAAGAGATAGGCTAGGTCTCGTCAGAAGACGAGAATCGGTTCATAGTTCATATTATGATCGTGAAGTATTGGGGTTTGCGTGGGAAATGTTGGATTTGACAACAATCGTTGGACTCTTCTTAATCTTATAATGCAATGGCAACGTTTTGATGATGTGGCGGGCGGTGTTCTTCATTACTGCCTCCCTAGGAAAATAAAGCGCATCAAAATCCTCTCTCCTAACTAACAAAACTAAGTCCTTGGAAGGCGATCATGTCTCTCAATATTATAAACCATCTCGATGTGCACCAGGAGACCTCCACTCTTCGTTCACGCTCAATGATTGATGCCCCTCAAATTCTTAAACACATTATATTTTAACTAGCCAAGCACTAGCACAGACTGAAAGATCTTCGTTTTCCCTTTCAATTTCAGCTATCACTCGACATTCAAAACTGTGTGGTATCTTTAAACGATGTTTTACATGTTCATTACAACAACTAAATCGTATTGTGTGATCAGCTGTCTGCCTGCTGAGATAACGGGTGTATGCCTTTTGGGCAGATTTTCTATGAAAGAAATACTGAGCGTATATAATGTTATTGTAAGCGCATACCACCACCCCC